TAAAATAAAATATGTTTTATATCCATTCCACATAAATTAGGAACAACCATGATGAGGAAAATTTTTAACCAATTTGATGAAACATTGATGTGAAGAATTTGATCACAACACAACGATTCAATACTAAATACCCCACCAACGTACTTATTCATAATACAGGTAGGCACAGCAAATTAAACGAAAATTAGAAAACCCGAAATCATACCTTACCAAACAAATGCACAACCTTTCCCGAAATTCAAGGTTGCACCAGAGTCGCCAGACTTCCCAGCCATATACGGCCAAACTAGTTTTCCAAAATGCCAAAAAAGTCAACTTCATTGCACAAGTGATAATTACCAATATGAATTACCATTGAATGGAAGAAAATATCACTATTTAGCTATGCTAGAATACTGTATTCCATTCAGTGTATGCATTCCATTCAGATAGAATAATGTATTAATCCCGCTCTTGTGTACCAGCTGATCCTGAACGTTATAACAGCAATTATTTAAGTAAGCTTTCTCCTGAAGCCCGGGATCCAACTAGAACACTCAGAAGGTCCGGATTCTGACCGCGGGCCGCCAACTGAGTAGCCCTGTACTAGGGGAACATAAGAATGAAGGAACACTGCCTTCGGCAAAAGCCTTCGACAAGTGTGACCATGGCGTAATAGCGCACAAAATGCGTGCTAAAGGAATAACAGGAAAAGTCGGTCGATGGATCTATAATTTCCTCACTAACAGAACACAGAGAGTAGTCGTCAACAGAGTAAAGTCCGAGGCAGCTACGGTGAAAAGCTCTGTTCCACAAGGCACAGTACTTGCTCCCCTCTTGTTCTCATCCTCATATCCGACATAGACAAGGATGTCAGCCACAGCACCGTGTCTTCCTTTGCAGATGACACCCGAATCTGCATGACAGTGTCTTCCATTGCAGACACTGCAAAGCTCCAGGCGGACATCAACCAAATCTTTCAGTGGGCTGCAGAAAACAATATGAAGTTCAACGATGAGAAATTTCAATTACTCAGCTATGGTAAACATGAGGAAATTAAATCTTCATCAGAGTACAAAACAAATTCTGGCCACAAAATAGAGCGAAACACCACGTCAAAGACCTGGGAGTGATCATGTCGGAGGATCTCACTTCAAGGACCATAACATTGTATCAATCGCATCTGCTTAGAAAAATGACAGGATGGATAATGAGAACCTTCAAAACTAGGGAGGCCAAGCCCATGATGACACTCTTCAGGTCACCTGTTCTATCTAGGCTGGAATATTGCTGCACACTAACAGCACCTTTCAAGGCAGGTGAAATTGCCGACCTAGAAAATGTACAGAGAACTTTCACGGCGCGCATAACGGAGATAAAACACCTCAATTATTGGGAGAGCTTGAGGTTCCTAAACCTGTATTCCCTGGAACGCAGGAGGGAGAGATACATGATTATATACACCTGGAAAATCCTAGAGGGACTAGTACCGAACTTGCACACGAAAATCACTCACTACGAAAGCAAAAGACTTGGCAGACGATGCACCATCCCCCCAATGAAAAGCAGGGGTGTCACTAGCACGTTAAAGAGACCATACAATAAGTGTCAGGGGCCCGAGACTGTTCAACTGCCTCCCAGCACACATAAGGGGGATTACCAACAGACCCCTGGCAGTCTTCAAGCTGGCACTGGACAAGCACCTAAAGTCAGTTCCGGATCAGCCGGGCTGTGGCTCGTACGTTGGTTTGCGTGTAGCCAGCAGCAACAGCCTGGTTGATCAGGCTCTGATCCACCAGGAGGCCTGGTCACAGACCGGGCCGCGGGGGCGTTGACCCCCGGAACTCTCTCCAGGTAAACTCCAGGCCTACTGGAGAACAACTTTGAAGTGCCTACAGCCAGTGGTCAGACTTCAAAGACATTTTATTGTACAACAATAAAGGAATGGAATAGACTACCTGAACATGTTAAAGCCTGTCACAGCATGAACCAGTTCAAGAAAGCTAAAAAGGTACATAGTGAATATGGCTGCAGAAAGGGAGGAGTGTGATTTCTTGTATATCTAACGTACATGTACAATGATCTGAAACTGTATTTGATGTCAATGTAAGTATCTGATTTTACCTTACCCTTAGTATATCTCCTTTCATTATAACTACTTTTCACATAGTTAAGATACTTAACTGTTTTTAACTTTTAAATATGATTAATACTTATCCTGAACCTGTACTCCTTGGAACGCAGGTGGGAGAGATACATGATTATATACACCTGGAAAATCCTAGAGGGACTAGTACCGAACTTGCACACGAAAATCACTCACAACGAAAGCAAAAGACTCGGCAGACGATGTAACATCCCCCCAATGAAAAGCAGGGGTGTCACTAGCACGTTAAGACAATACAATAAGTGTCAGGGGCCCGAGACTGTTCAACTGCCTCCCAGCATACATAAGGGGGATTACCAATAGACCCCTGGCTGTCTTCAAGCAGGCACTGAACAGGCACCTAAAGTCGGTACCTGACCAGCCGGGCTGTGGCTCGTACGTTGGATTGCGTGCAGCCAGCAGTAACAGCCTGGTTGATCAGGCTCTGATCCACCAGGAGGCCTGGTCACAGACCGGGCCTCGGGGGCGTTGACCCCAGGAACTCTCTCCAGGTAAACTCCAGGTAAGGACCCCAATGGAAGTAAGTCACTTTTACTTCTTGGATCACCGGTACTCTCCCGGCCCGGGTCTTTTCCTTTTTGGGTTATCCTGGGTAATCTGTACATATAATGCTATGTATGATAATCTATGTAACTGAATTGATGTGTACCTATACCTGAATAAAAACTAACCAAGTAGAAAAGGGCCTACGAAGCTAGGAGTGATTCCGCCAAGCGGCAAGTTGAGGCTGCCACATACATCAACTGGACAAGACCCGGGCCCGGACAGCATGGGTCTTGTCCAGTGGTCATGCATAAAGCAAAGAAACAACGTGAACCAAGAAAATGTGACTAATCTAATCTGTTAGTGAATATGTTTTCAGTCAAAATGTAGTACCACTCATGTGAATTATGACGTACATACATGAATTCCATGGTTCGATTACACATCCAAGACCCTAAATTTTTACACTATACAGTAATATACTAAACCTGCCCTTAAGAATCTGTAGATGCAACAGAACTCACGAGAACCAGAAAATATTGATCCGTTTCACGAGGGAAGATGAGGTTACAGCGCATTGAATAGCACAATCAGATTCGATACAAGGAAAGAAAGTAGCTACAATTATTTGGATCAACAGCACTTCACACCAATCAAAATCTCTCTCTCTCTCTTGCCAATAAACCAAATATTACACCTCTCAGACAACCTGTGGATAACAGCAACTCCACTGTTCATGGAGACCGTGGAACACAACTCCCACAAACTGTGGGCAGAAATCCCTGAAGACCTATATAAAAGTCCCTGGAGATCTATGGGTATCAGTCCCTGAAGATCTATGGGTAACAGTCCCTGGAGATCTATGGGTAACAGTCCCTGGAGATCTATGGGTAACAGTCCCTGGAGATCTACGGGTAACAGTCCCTGGAGATCTACGGGTAACAGTTCCTGGAGACCTATGGGTAACAGTCCCTGGAGATCTACGGGCAACAGTCCCTGGAGATCTATGGGTAACAGTCCCTGGAGATCTATGGGTAACAGTCCCTGGAGATCTATGGGTAACAGTCCCTGGAGATCTATGGGTAACAGTCCCTGGAGATCTATGGGTAACAATCCCTGGAGATCTATGGGTAACAGTCCATGGAGATCTATGGGTAACAGTCCATGGAGATCTATGGGTAACAGTCCCTGGAGATCTATGGATAACAGTCCCTGGAGATCTATGGGTAACAGTCCCTGGAGATCTATGGGTAACAGTCCCTGAAGATTTATGGATAACAGTCCATGGAGCTCTATGGGTAACATTAGATTTAGATTTTGCCACCGAAGTGGCTAGTTTATTGTGCACCCATATCCATCCTGTGGATGGTAGCGCAAGAGCATATGAATACACAAAAGACCTAGGAACTAGATCTATGAGTAAGAGTCCCTGGAGATCTATGGGTAAGAGTCCCTGGAGATCTATGTATGGGTAATAGTCCCTGGAGATCTATGGGTAAGAGTCCCTGGAGATCTGTGGGTAACAGTTCCTGGAGATCTATAGGTAACAGTTCCTGGAAATCTATGGGTAACAATTCCTGGAGATCTATGGGTAACAGTCCCTGGAGATCTATGGGTAACAGTCCCTGGAGATCTATGGGTAACAGTCCCTGGAGACCGGTGGGTAACCCAGCCCCGGGAGGACCTGTGGGTAACCCAGCCCCGGGGGACCTGTGGGTAACCCAGCCCCGGGGGGCCTGTGGGTAACCCAGCCCTGAGGGGACCTGTGGGTAACAGCCCCTAGAGGACCTGTGGGTAACAGCCCCGGGGGGACCTGTGGGCAACAGCCCCGGGGGGACCTGTGGGTAACAGCCCCGGGGGGACCTGTGGGTAACAGCCCCGGGGGACCTGTGGGCAACAGCCCCGGGGGGACCTGTGGGTAACAGCCCCGAGGGGACCTGTGGGTAACAGCCCCGAGGGGACCTGTGGGTAACAGCCCCGGGGGACCTGTGGGTAACAGCCCCGGGGGGACCTGTGGGTAACAGCCCCGAGGGGACCTGTGGGTAACAGCCCCGAGGGGACCTGTGGGTAACAGCCCCGAGGGGACCTGTGGGTAACAGCCCCGGGGGGACCTGTGGGTAACAGCCCCGGGGGGACCTATGGGTAACAGCCCCGAGGGGACCTATGGGTAACAGCCCCGAGGGGACCTATGGGTAACAGCCCCGGGGGGACCTGTGGGTAAACAATCCCGGAACTGTACTATTTCTCCTCGTCCAGAGCACTACAAACAGGTGTGAGGTATTGCACTGCCGCCTGGCCGGACGGTGGGCGTCATCCTGGGCCAGATGCAATATCTGACTCACACAGTCAAGTGATAAAGAAGACAACTAACCCAGAGGTGTGAGCCGCAGAAATCTGCTGACACTTGCTGGTCCACCATGGCGCCGACACTGTGGCTTGTATCACCACAAGGTTCAAGATGGCCCGCCGCATCTCCATGCCAACCATCACCCGCTGCTACGTCTTTCCTTCACGGCACTGCTCCTCCCCCAGTGACCCTCGCATCATACAACTTCTCTTAAAATAGACAGTCACACGCCAGTTTTTTTAAGCTAGCTTAGGGTATAAGAAAGTACACATCGTCTAAAATTTTTATTTGTGGATATCATGGTAAGCAACTCAACCATGCAGCAGACGACACACACCACCATGACGCAACCCTTATGTTTTATTTATATTTATTTTGGTACAAATTTAGGTATCAAATTAGCTTTATTATGCACCTTAAATTCCTCCTGAGGACAGTTTTTTAATCAGGGGAAAGCTCTAAACCCGAAGGGGGTCACATAGCACCTAGGTAATACGAGGCATTTTGGTTCGAGCTAAAAAAAAAAATGGTAAGAATAAATCCAGTTCTGTGGCTCAGAAGATCCTCACAATGTGGTGTAACCTAATTTTATGCAAGATTACGCCACATTATATAGTAAAAAAAATATGTATCGGATATATTGGAATTTCGAAATATTAGATTATTTTTGTTTCTCGAAATGTTTTGCATAACTTCGGTATTTTCCCAGGGCACAAACCTTACTATATTTTCGCTCGGTTTTATTGTAGATATTGTATTATACTCATGGGAGAGCGCCAAACCTGTAGGGGTCATACAGTACCTAGAGGAATGGGAAGCATTCATACTTGATTCAAAGGAATTGGAGCCCATGTCCGGTTCCATGGATCAAGAGCCCCACCAGCATCAAGGCACCTCCCTTGAGGACGGGGGGGGGGGAGGGCTTTATTCCAGGGGCCGAGAAATGATAAGCTTCTTTTCTGCAAAGTATTATTTACAATTTGTTCAGGCATACCTGGAGTTTACCTGGAGAGAGTTCCGGGGGTCAACGCCCCCGCGGCCCGGTCTGTGACCAGGCCTCCTGGTTCAATTCAATTCAATTCAATTCAAAGTTTATTCTCTATAAGGATTACAATGCTGAGTTTACAGAAATTTGGTTATTGTTTGGTTTACATGTAGTAAAATTGTGATTACAGAGTGTACCACTAGAACGCATAGCATGGCTAGGCATTTCGGGCATACTTAGTTTTATTCTTAATTGTAAAATATTACAAATTATGAGGTAAGTTGGTATTATGGCTAAGTGACTAAATACTAGTTTGTGAGTTTAGCAATGTGAATGCTTTTGTTTTGGCACAGTATATAGTTTCAGTATTGGAGTATCACAGGATTCATTATTATAAGACTGAGATTAATATTTCTGTTTATGGTCAAATGAGTGAGCGAGTGTAAGTGTGAACCACCAGGTGGTATTCGTGTAGTTAGTTGACGGGTGTGTATCAGGGAGATAAGATGTTTTCTAATGGTAGTTTTGAAGGTGATGAAGGTGTCTGCAGTTCTAGAGTTCTCAGGTAGGGTATTCCAGATTTTAGGGCCTTTGACATACATTGAATTTTTGTAAAGGTTTAGTCGGACACGGGGAATGTCGCAGAGATGTTTGTTTCTGGTGTTATGCCTGTGGGTTCTGTCACAACTATCAAGAAAGCGTTTTAGGTCAAGGCTGATATTAGAGTTTAAGGCCCTGTAGATATAGATTGCACAGTAGTAAGTGTGGATGTACTGAACTGGGAGTAAGTTTAGATCTTTGAAGAGTGGGGGGGTGTGCTGCCAGGGATGGGATTTAGTGATTATTCTTACTGCAGCTTTTTGTTGGGTTATTATTGGCTTTAGGTGTGTTGCTGCAGTTGATCCTCAAGCACAAATAGCATAGGTGAGGTATGGATAAATAAGTGAGTGGATCAGAGCCTGATCAACCAGGCTGTTGCTGCTGGCTGCACGCAAACCAACGTACGAGCCACAGCCCGGCTGATCAGGAACTGACTTTAGGTGCTTGTCCACCACGCCAATATAATAATTAAGGTGACATTACTAACAAAATCAATTTAAGTCCCAGGTCAGGCGGAGAGTTTCGGACAGATTCAAAACAAACTTATAACTGCTGATAACTCTTAATGGACTTTTTTGGGCTCCCTTTCCTTCGTGTGTTAGTGAGACTAGTTTTCTTTCTCCTGTGTGCGGGTTATTAAGTGTATTGTAGGTTTAGCTCTCCTTTTTGATTATAATAATTAAGTATATTGTTCTTAATTTGTTAAATGTTTACAGCGGTTATAACAAACGTTGGCCAGATACAAAAGAAAATACTGATGTAAATTCCAGCATTACTTTGATATACCTTCGATGAGTTCCGAGAGTTTTTCTACTCCCAGGGCAGGTCCAGTAACTTGGATCAAGAGCCCCTCGCTAGCATTAAAGATCCTCCCTTCAGAGAGTAATGGTTAATGTATCTTGTGGAAAACGAAATTAATTTTTGTGTTTAAGATGGTATACTTGGAACTGGTATACATGGAGCTGGTATACCTAGAGCTGGTATACCTAGAACTGGTATACCTGGAACTGGTATACCTGGAACTGGTATACCTGGAACTGGTATACCTGGAACTGGTATACCTAGAACTGGTATACCTGGAACTGGTATACTTGGAACTGGTATATCTGGAACTGGTATACTTGGAACTGGTATACCTGGAACTGGTATACCTGGAACTGGTATACCTAGAACTGGTATACCTGGAACTGGTATACCTGGAACTGGTATACCTGGAACTGGTATACCTGGAACTGGTATACTTGGAACTGGCATACCTGGAGCTCGTATACCTGGAACTGGTATACCTGGAGTTAGGTATACCTGTAGCTCGTATACCTGGAGCTCGTATACCTGGAGCTCGTATACCTGGAGCTCGTATTCCTGGAGCTCGTATACCTGGAGCTCGTATTCCTGGAGTTAGGTATACCTGGAACTGGTATACCTGGAGTTAGGTATACCTGGAGCTCGTATACCTGGAGCTGGTATACCTAGAGCTGGTATACCTGGAACTGGTATACCAGGAGTGTATATGCAAATCTGTCAATATACTAACAGTTAATAAACTTGGAATTAGTAATAACAATGGTTATAAATGACCATAATTTTTAAAGGGGTGGACCGGTAAGCCAGCAGAAGGCCTCGGTCAGATGACCAAAAGCTCCAAAGGAGGGTCATCATCTGACTAAGACCCGCGTCAGGAAACATTTGTCCTGTTTCCTGACGAACCTAACCTAACCTTGGAATTACTGGATTTTGTACAATAACTACTAACTGTATTTCATGGTCGAAATTTTTTCCCCCATAAAAGAAGATTGATTTTGGGTTATGTAAGTTTCAGTTTGATAATTTTTCTAGACAAATGCATGAATTAAATGTGGGTAATGTAGGTTCCATGAGGCCCCTGGGGTCCCGTGGCCAGGCTGGTAAAGCTCGCGCTTCACACGTTGAGTGTCCGGGTTCGATTCCCGGCAGGGGTGGAAACATTGGACGCGTTTTCATACACCTGTCGTCCTGTTCACCAAAGTAGGTACCTGGGTGTTAGTCGACTGGTGTGGGTGGCATCCTGGGGGACAAGACTGAGAACCTCAATGGACATAAGACAGACAGTCCTCGATGACGCACTGACTTTCTTGGGTTATCCTGGGTGGCTAACCCTCCGGAGTTAAAAACCCGAACGAAATCTTATCTTATCGAAGATATTTAGAAAATTGAAATACTGGTTTTCATGCGACAATTTATATCATTATTATAATCATAACTAAGCGCTAAACCCACACGAGTCGTGCAGCACGATCATTTATAAATGCCTCGTTCGATTGGATTTAAACCTTCATTGCCGATAACTTGCAAATGCAACTTTTGAGCGGCCCAAGACTTTAATAATAATAATAATATAACCATATTAAGCGCTAAACCTGCACTTATGTGTACCTGTACCTGAATAAACTTATTAAGTGTTGTTGTGATCTGGAATATTAGTTTCCGTGCGATAATTAGAGAATGCCTCTTCAGATCGGCTTTAAATTTTGAAAGTAGTATATTTTACCTGGATAGAGTTTTGGGGATCAACGCCCCCGCGGCCCAGTCTGTAATCAGGCCTCGTGGTGGAATCAGAGCCTGATCAACCAGGCTGTTACTGTTGGTGAAAGGTAGAAATTAGTTTTGGGCTGTATTGGTGTCATATTTTTTATTTTTTTTATTTATGAAAAATAGGCTATTACAAGATATTAGTTCCCATGTATTGTGAATTATTCTTACTGGTTTTAAACCTTAAGTGCGTCATAAGTTTCTAAATTTATGACGCACTCTGTACTTTTCCTTGCGCGTGAACTGAGGCAGAGGGATGCTGGATTTATGGGATGTGGGAATAAGTTTGATATACCGCCCAGCTAACACAATACATACAGTTATGGTTATGTTCAGGGAGAAGCGCTTAACCTCATTGCCTGGGATCAAGAGCCCTTCACCAGCATCAAGGAACCGCTTTTGAAGGGACAGTGTCATGGCTGATTTTTTTTTTTTTGTGAGTTTGCTAGTAGCATGTGTAGACGCGATGCTTGCGTCTGAGTCATGTTTACGGATGATGGTTGGTGTGCTGACAGTGCCTCAACGACTGTGCGGTGCTTAGCTACGTGTAGTGCCAGGCGAATGTAGTTAGTAAGTTTATTTAGGCACAGGTATACATAAGTACAATTATCATACGTAGTAACATATGTGTAAATTACCTAGGATAACCCAAGAAAGTCAGACGGGGTGATTTATTTCCATTGGGGTTGATTTGCTTTTGAGTTTATTTTATATCCAAGGAATAAGAGTTGAATGTTGATGTAATCTGTCTTTTCAAGGAAATATGTTTGGTTGCTTATTTGCCACCAGGCCACAGGTCCTGATGGCAAAAGTTCTCGCTTAACACGGTGAGGGTCCGGGTTCGATTCCCGGCGAAGAAGGGAAAACATTGGACGTGTTTCCTTACACTGGTTGTCTATGTTCACCCATCAGTAAAATGGGTACGTGCGTGTTAGTCGACTGGTGTGGGTCGCATCCTGGGATAAAACTGACCAAATTGCCCGAAATGCTCTGCATAACAAGCGGCAACAGTTTGGAACCCACGCC